CTTAAATCTCAACTTGGACTTCAACTTCAACTCGATTGCTCCTCCCAAGGCATTGTGTTTGTCGAGGCATCTTCCACCTCCACCCTCCGCACCCTCAATTACTTCGATGATGTTGCTTCCATCCCTTTTCATCATCTTCTTCCCGAGCCAGAACCAGAACCGCTGGTGCAGATGCAGATAACGCAGTTTGCTTGTGGAGGCTTCGTGATGGGTCTGATTTTCTGTCATAGCATCTGTGACGGCCTTGGAGCCGCCCAGTTCTTGAATGCTGTGGGCGAGCTCGCTAGAGGCAAAGGCCTTGACCCTCTCAGCGTCACACCTGCGTGGCACAGGGATTTCTTTCATCCAAATCCAAATGCCCCATTGCCAAAGCAGGTTCCTCCCCCGGCCCCGTTGCCGGAGTACAGCCTCCTGCACTCCAACATCGACATTCCCATACAGCACATCAATCGACTCAAGAAACAGTTTCAAGAATCAACAGGAAATACTTGCTCCGCCTTTGAAATTGTGGCTGCTAGTTTTTGGAGGTGTAGGACACGGGCCATTTACGATTACCAATACCATCAAGACCAGGGGGATGGGAGTGGCGAAAAAATTAAGCTAGTTTTCTTTGCAAATTGTCGGGAATTGGTGGACCCTCCGCTGCCGAAGGGTTTCTATGGAAACTGCTTCTTCCCAGTGACAATCAGCGGGTGGAGCAGGGGAATTGGGGAAGCCTCCATAAATGAGGTGGTGAAACTGATACAGGAAGCCAAGAGTAAGGTGGGAAGTGAGTTCAGAACGTACATCAAGGGGGAGCATGGGGATGCGGATGATCCCTTCGCTCCGCCGCTCAACTACTCCACGCTCTTCATATCGGAGTGGGGAAGGCTTGGGTTCAATAACGTGGATTACGGATGGGGGCCACCGGTGCACGTGGTTCCCATCCAAGGCTCCGCCGTCATACCCGCCGGTATAGTGGCTTCTCTTCCCTTACCAGCAAAGGGTATTCGTCTCATGACGTGGTGCGTACAGGAGCCTCATCGCCCATCCTTTCTCCACCAAATCTCCCAACTACTCCTCTGAACTCTCAACTCTCAACTCTAATTTGGAACACTCCCCCTAAAATCCAACCTCATTTTATTCCACTAATAAGTTTCAGTTGTTCCCACGCCGGAGAAGACAATTCATGTATCCAACAAAATGCTAATTTGAAAAAATTTTATTGTTCATCTGTCGAAACCTTTGCATTTTGTGTAAAATAATATTTGGGTAGTCTGCTTGCCTTAGGCAGATATGTTCCTATTCTTTATATATAAAAAAACATTTCTCTCTTTGTAAAAAAATTAATGACGGTGGACAAGAGATTGTCAGCCCTAAGTATTGTGTTATTTCTAACAAATTAGTAAATCAACAATAGTAGTTTGTTGCGTGGGAATCTGAGATTCTTGTTGGATGGACGTTTATTTTACAGGAATGTAAGATATCCGAGAATCTTGAGATGGATACCCGAGCATCTCTTGGGAGGCATCTTATGAGTTTTTGATGCTCTTTTGAAACACGAGTTTTCAAGATTCCTTAGGACATATAATTTTTACATTTTTGTCATTCATTTTTTTTCCATGTATTTTCTTTCATCATTTTTTAAATTTTTCTTGAAAAAAATTATTTATTTTAAAATTTAAAATTCATAATTAAAATAAAATAATGTACTCATGGCTAATAAACAACTTTATGTTATTAAGTATATCTATACATTAGATTTACATGTATAATAAGTTGTAATTAAATTATATAATATATGCATTTATTATTTATATTTTGAAGGAATTGCATTATTAATAATATTTATTATCGTAAATATTTAATTTTAAAGCAACAATTCTCTTATGACCAACATATCGGTGATATTTGTCCTCTTAAAAAATATATATATAATGTGATTGATAGAATAAATAAATCTCATCCAAGATAGCCTAAACAAAGTTGATCATTTATTATTAATAATTATAAAATATTTTAACACTAAACCATTTTCAAATTTACTTTTTGACCACATCAAACGTGTAATAACAAAGAGTAAAAGACTCAAATTTCTCCAAATTTGAAATTTTACGAAAAATGGTATAATTCAAATAAAGGTTAAACTTAAATATAATACAAAATAAGATAAACAAATAATAATTAGATTTATGCTATATTTAAAAATAGTGTTATATTTAAAAAATATTTTTTTTCCTTCTTGTTTTTGTTTTTAAATTTATTTTGACAGACGGTAGGGATAATTTAGTTCAATAATAAAACGACGAAGAAAACTTAAATTATTGCAAAGAACAGCATAAAAAGAAGAAAATTTTGCCTCCATAGCAGAGCTCCTCTTCTATTGTGATGTGGTTTATCTATAAAAATTTGAGTAAAATTTATTTGTAATTAAATATAAGGAATCAATTAGAAATAAGGAAAATTCACTTTGCAAAAGAAAAAAGAGAATGAAAATTCACCAAAATAGCCTCAAATACAAACACGGGAGTTGGGTTTTCACCGCAGACGACGGTCAGATTGGTGTTTGACGGACGTCGCGGCTCAGCAAGAAAATCCAACTTCAACGGCGCTTCCGTTCCCTTGCCAGTCTCTGCTAAGTCAGACTGCGTCTGTTTACGATGAATGCGTATTAGATTCGAGATTGTTACCCATTTACCATATTCCCAATCCCAGCTTTCTTTTCCTTTCTGGTACGTACACTCATTCCAATTCAATTTAATTTCTCTCAAACCCTAGATCTCTTTGTTATCTCTCCTTCTGTGTTTTATGGCCTTTGTTTTTCTGTTCTTCACATTTTCTATTTTGTCGACGATGAATTAGTTTCGAGGAAACTTCAATTTTGCAGGTTTAAACGAATTTGACCAGATTTCCCCTTCATTCGTGTTAATTGCTTAATCTATTTTGCCTGTCTGGACATCGTTTTTGCGAATCCTGGCAATGCTTCTGGATTCCCTGGGCTGGTTTATTTTTAATCGATTTCCACCCTCTCCTGGAGTTTTCTTTTGGGGCTCGTCTTAGGAGTTTTTCCTATCTAGACTAGTTTGTGTTTACCGCAAGTACATCATCATTATCCTCCGATCGTTATCTAACTTCTCGATTTTGGATTCTATATTTCGGTTTGTTTTCTAAGTTTTCTCCTCCCAAATGGCCTACACACCGCAGTCTTCCTCCGGCTTCTCCGTCACTCTCCCGGCCCCGCAACCCGACACCCCAACTCCTAGCTCTGAGAAAAATCCAATGCCTTCGCCCTTAACCTCGATAGGACCCTCCAGATTTCCTCCAAAATTCCAACAGGATCAGATGCCATCACCTTCCATCAGAACGCCAATCGCATCCTCACCGGCGAATGGAATTAAAACCGGCAGTCCAATTCCTCACTTGAGTACTCCCCCCGGACCTCCTGTTTTTACTTCACCTATTAGGCCTGCTGCTGTCCCCTTTCGTACTTCACCGGCTTCTCCTCAGCCGATTGTCTTCTCTTCTGGTTCGTCCTTACCAGCTTCTACACCTCCACATTTTTTGAATGCATCAGCCGGGTTGCAACACCAGATATCTGATGTTTCAGAGGAATCAATGCCTCTTGAGGAATCACCATATGTTCTATTCTCTTCGCAGAAGGTATTACTTTTTTTGTTTTTCCCCGCCCTGTAATAATGAATGTTAAAAATCTGGTTTACCTGTTCACTTTCATTCGGACTGTTAGCATTAGCAGATTCAATGGCTCCTCGTATACATTTTTAAACACATGCCATGCCACGACCTTATGTTTTTCTAAAATTAATTTAACATTAATTTTTTTGCAATCTACTCCTTTCTTGACCTCGATTGATATAGGTGCTGAAGCTGAAGAAACAAGCTAATGTTCCCAGTTTGGGTTTTGGAGCACTGGTTTCACCTGGGAGGGAAATTTCATCAGGTCCTCAGATAATACAGCGCGAGCCCCATCGTTGCCCAAGCTGTGGAGCTTATTCAAATCTGTATTGCAATATCTTAATTGGTTCGGGTCAGTGGCAGTGTGTAATTTGTCGGAAGCTGAATGGAAGTGAGGGTGAATACGTAGCACCAAGCAAAGAAGACCTTTGTCATTTCCCAGAATTGTCATCATCTATGGTTGATTATGTCAGAACTGGGAATCGGAGACCAGGGTTTATTCCAGCTTCTGATTCAAGAACGTCTGCACCCGTTGTTTTGGTTATTGATGAGTCTTTAGACGAGCCTCATCTGCAGCATCTCCAGAGCTCCTTGCATGCTTTTATTGATTCAGTTTCCCCCACTACAAGAATTGGAATTATACTGTATGGCCGGACTGTATCAGTATATGATTTTTCGGAAGAATCTGTTGCCTCTGCTGATGTGCTTCCCGGTGATAAATCACCAACTCCAGACTCTTTGAAAGCATTAATTTACGGAACAGGAATATATTTATCACCAATGCACGCCTCACTTCCTGTAGCACACACAATATTTTCATCACTGAGGCCTTATAAATCAAGTGTTCCAGAAGCCTCAAGAGATAGGTGCCTTGGTACTGCAGTTGAAGTTGCTCTTGCCATAATCCAAGGACCTTCAGCAGAAGTGTCTCGAGGAGTAGTTAGAAGATCGGGAGGTAATAGTAGAATTATTGTGTGTGCTGGTGGGCCTAACACGTGCGGCCCTGGGTCAGTTCCACATTCTGTCAGTCACCCAAATTACCTACACATGGAGAAGTCTGCTTTAACTTGGATGGAGCATCTTGGTCGTGAGGCTCATCGACAAAATACTGTGGTTGACATTCTATGTGCTGGAACATGCCCTGTAAGAGTTCCTATTTTGCAGCCTCTTGCAAAAGCTTCTGGTGGTGTTTTGGTTCTACATGATGACTTTGGGGAAGCCTTTGGTGTGAACTTGCAGAGGGCATCTGCTAGGGCTGCAGGTTCTCATGGTTTATTAGAAGTACGCTGTTCTGATGACATTTTAATCACCCAAGTTGTTGGTCCAGGTGAAGAGGCGCATGTAGACACGCATGAAACCTTCAAAAATGACAGCTCTCTCTACATTCAAATGCTTAGTGTAGAAGAAGCTCAGAGCTTCTCCCTCTCGATGGAGACTAAGAGGGACATAAAGAGTGATTTTGTATTTTTCCAGTTTGTTGTACAATATTCAAATGTTTATCAAGCTGACATATCAAGAGTAATTACTATCAGATTGCCTACTGTTGAAAGCGTATCAGAATATTTGGAAAGTGTTCAAGATGAAATAGCTGGAGTCCTTATTGCCAAGAGGACTGCCTTGCTAGCTAAAAGCCAGTCTGATGCAATTGATATGCAGGCTACAATAGACGAAAGAGTGAAAGATATTGCTTTGAAATTTGGGACCCTGGCACCAAAGTCAAAGATTTATCGGTTTCCAAAGGAACTGTCTTCAATGCCGGAGCTTCTGTTCCATTTGAGAAGAGGCCCTCTTCTTGGAAGCATTGTTGGTCATGAAGATGAAAGGTCTGTGTTAAGAAACTTGTTTTTGAACGCATCCTTTGATCTTTCCCTCCGTATGGTAGCACCTCGCTGTCTAATGCACCGGGAAGGGGGTACTTTTGAAGAGCTTCCAGCATATGACCTAGCTATGCAGTCAGATGCTGCTGTTGTTCTTGACCACGGAACAGATGTCTTCATTTGGTTGGTATGTTACTTATTATACTACCTTTTGGAAGCTTAGACATGCTTCTGTTTAGTTTGTGCCCTCAAACATTGTTGTATCATCTTTAATTTCTAGCTGAAAATGGTACCATTAGCATTTTTGTCTTGAAAATCAAGTGCTTTGTGAATTTTTTTTTTCTTTACTTAGAAAATCTGTTCAGTGAAAATGATTTGAGTACAGTTTTAATGAACAAAAAAACAGTTGAAAACAAAAATGGCAAGTTTCGTATTCATTAAACTCATATTATAACTTGTCTTTTCTGACAAATTTCCAATTACAAAAACTAGAACGTCTTCTCCTCCGCTGCTTTCTAAACTTGCTCAATTATTTCTGTTCTCCTTTGGCCATGGCCTTTCTGGCCTTTCTGTCATTCTAATATTAATTTTCTAATCCGTTTCCCTTATTTTATAATTGGACGTATTATTCTTATTCCTTTTATTGGTGTACGTAGGGTGCTGAGCTTGCAGCTGAAGAAGGAAAAAGTGCAGCTGCTTTAGCAGCTTGCAGAACACTGGCGGAAGAGCTTACTGAATCCAGGTTTCCAGCTCCCAGGATTCTTGCGTTCAAGGTTTGTCTCGTTATAGAAGCTATATGTTTCTCCTCAACGAGGTTATAAAAAAAAAATAATAATAATAATAAAGTTTCTCCTCAACGTGGTTTTAAATTTTCAATTTCTCTGACTTAATGAAAGGATGCTGTAAATACTCCCCTTTTCTTATTTATGCCAAATTGATTGTGTGTTTTTTTTTTGTATACCCGTTTGTTGTTCTATTTTCTGGTGACCTCTTTTTTATTCCTTTTTGTCTCCCTTAATGAAAAAGTTACTGTTTCTCTCTCTCTTATCTGCAATAACACTAAACCTGTTTAATGTGAAGCAGGAGGGGAGCTCTCAGGCTCGGTATTTTGTTTCTCGGCTAATACCGGCACACAAGGACCCTCCTTACGAACAGGTAAAATAGAAGATAGCCCATTATTCTTGGGTCATGATGATCTGACTTGTCAAGACTCGGGAGAATGCCATACTTCGCTTAATTGTATAGGACTGTGCTTCATTGCAATTAAATAACTGAGGAAGTTTGGTTATCTTTCTACGAGAGAGAGAACTGATGGGGTTCGTTTGGTATGATTCTAACGGATTATTAATTGATTGCTGCAGGAGGCTAGATTCCCGCAACTTAGAACATTGTCCACAGAGCAGCGGACAAAGCTGAAAAGTAGTTTTCTTCATTTCGATGATCCCAGTTTCTGTGAATG